ACCTGTTTTCAAATAATTACTGGCTTAGTGTTCCTATTGCTGTAATACATAAACTTTGAGTGATGTCACATAGGATTTCCTCTCCTTAATTACCTAAAAGGCAGGTTTTTATTTATGTTACATCTTTACTTTGAGCAAGGTGTCTCTGTACAGAAGAGGCACAATACAGCAATGGACAGCAGAACTGGGTTTGTCTGTGTAGTTTCAAGAAGAATGTTTTATATTTGAGAAACTGGAACAATGACTCAATTGCAGTACCATTAATATGATTTTGGTAACAGAAATTTTGAATGAATAATGGGAATAATGTCTTTCTAATGGGTCCATGTCTAAACCAGCTGATTATTTAAAAGCACATTTCAAGTGCTAACAATATATCAAGTGATCATATTCCTTGTTAAGGTAACTAGTCATGAAGGGTTGAGCTGATATGCACGAGATTGACAGAAAAATGAAAAATTTCTGGAATTTTTCAAGAAATCAATGCTGTGGTGTTTTGTACAACATGAAGTGTTCCTGGGGCTTTTAAGTGAAAGTCGTAGTTGATAAACATTTTAAGACTGTTTTCCAGAAGTGAGATCTGCAGACAATGGGATCTGCAGTAGGGGGAAGCAGATGAAGCACAAAAACTGGCATGTAAATTACTCACTGTTTACAAACAGAGGAATTCTTGAAAAACAGGAGTTGACAACTTAGGTACATTCTGGATGGCTGAGGTTCCAGCTCAGACTGTTAGACAACTCTGTTATAAAAGTGCTGCTTAAAAAAAAGTCATACCTTATTCAGGCCAGTTGAGGAAAGACACACTTATCAAGAATGCTGGCAGTTGTGCAAAAACAGGGGAAAAAAAGGAGTTGTTGAAAGATTGTACTGAAGCTCCTCTTGCTGCAGCAGAGGTGACAGATGCTGGAGGCCTCTCACTTCTGACACTGTAGCTGTGCCATGTTCTTTCTTTACCAGCATTTCTTGAAAATTGGGAAAGAGGAGTTTGGAACTCATTTTCTTCCAATAAGCAGTGTTTGTTTTGAAATTGGTGTTTTTCACACAGTGAGACAGGCACAGTAGAAGGAGCTTGGCAACCGACATTGCCTTTCTAAATAAAATAAATCATAGTGCTGCATATGTGGAAATAAAGGCTTTGAGAACTGTTATGAAGGCAGTGCATGTAACTGGTAAAACCTGTGTACTCCCTTTGCTCTGTGGTACTTGGGAAGACACACTTGCAACATCAATGAAATAAAAACTGGTGCAGTAAAACGCCCTTGACAGGAATGCTTGGCTTGGGTAGCAAAGTGCTGGAAGTTCATGTCCTGACACAGGGCCTGGTGCCCACGCTGTCCTCTTCCCTGGCAAGCACAGGGTGGGACAGCCTGGCTGGTGCCACCTCCTGTGCTGCCCCTGAGGAGATGTGCAGGATCCTACACCAAGGGGTACCTCAGAGAATGCGCACAAGCAAGTGGGATGTGCATTTCAATATTGCTGGTCCCAGTAGCAATATTGAGATGTTTCTGCACGCAATGAACACCATGGACATTAGTTTGATTTTTGGGGTCCTTGCAGGGAATGTGCATTGCCAGTGAGTTTTTCGTGCCCCTTCATGCCCTTTTCATGCTACAGTTCCTCAGTTTAGATTGGTAATAACATCTCAGTGTTCTTTTAAAAGTGTTTCTGACCCTTCTGCTCAAAGGCACACAGGAGGCTGAAGCCAACCAGCCAAAGCAATACTGGGTTGTTTCAAGACAGCCAATGTGTGCCTGAGTGCACAGGCAGCTATGACCAACTGAGACCTCTGCTATGCTTTGGTTCTGCTCTGAATCAGCATCAGAATCAAACACTCTGTTTGCTCTGTGCATGCCCCTCTGTGTACTTTATGGTAGTATTTTAGGGACTTTCTGTTTCTGGTAGGCAGTAGCTGATCAATTCTTTGAAAGTAATCAGAGGTGCAGCGACAGTTCCACCAAAACACATTGATCCTTCACGTGTTCTCAAAGATGACCAGAAGCATTTATAAGTAAAATTGTTACTTAGAGAGAAGCATGGCTTAGGACTGGCTCTGTAGGGATCTTAACACAAACACAGCCTTGGGTCTTGCCCTTGTGTGAGTGTCTGCAATAAGAGCCTGAGTAATTTACTCAAGATCCCATAGCAAGATAGCAGATTCCGAACTATGATTCGGGGGTTATCGAACTCTGGTGCAGGATTTCCTCTCCTCCAGTTTTCATTTTTCTTCTGTTCTGAAAATACACAGTATCCCAGCTCTTTGGAACTTTGCTTAAAGGAAGAATGTTAATCAAGACAACCCTTGGGACCTGGTACAGGTGTTTTGAATGTATTAATTCATGAGCAGATTTGTATAAAGAAAATTTTTACATTTAAGAATTCAAGTGCTTAGGTTTAATCTGGTTCTCAGTTGTAGTGTCTTAAAACCACTGAAGATGTGACCTTTAGCTGACCCATGACTATCCAAATTGACACCAGAAGGAGCTGGAAACTGACTTCATTGTGAAATTAATGGATACCTCTTCTGTGATAGATATGGGGAAACAAATTACAGATTTTAAAACCATCTCTTTGGGAACTGCATCTTAATGATATCAGAATTGAATAAATATATGCATAGTTCCAGGAATCTTCTAATGGAGCCTCTGGGCTTTCATTTTTACATCTGCTTTTCTGTGGTTTTGTAGCTCACCTCATGCACTAGCCATTCAATATATATTTTATATTGCTACAATAGTTTGCACATTTATTTTTTAATGACAAAAGGCTCCCACCCTCTTCACATCTGCGTTGGAAGTATTTGCATAACTGAGGGCCTGCAGTAGTAAGTGAAGGCAGCTCTCTCTAGAGCAATACAGATTGCCAGGCCTGGAACACCAAAGGGAAGCAGTGAGACACTAAAACATTTCCAAATTCAGTCAGTTCTTTGTGGTGGGGGTGAGAGCAGTAATTATAAAAACAAGACAGCTAAATCAAAATGAACCATAAAAAAATTACAGTTATTATAATTTGTTGCAATAGAGCAAAGATTTACTGGAAAGTTGTGGCAAAAGTACCGTTAATAAAACACATAAATAGTAAGTAACCTGAGGGAGAGCTGTTTCACACTCTGAGAAACAGCTTCAGCAGAAATGATTACTTAAGAAATGTGACTTATAGTGTAATGGAATATCCATTGTAACAGTTAAAAAAAAAACCTTCTCAAAGATTATTTCATTGTTTAACATGTTGACATGTTGGCCCTTTAGCATCTACATTGTCTTGTCCATATAGAATTTTTTAAAAAAATATTTATGGGGAAAATGGAGTCTGAATGTCAAAGGCTTCTAATCTTTATTGTTAAAGGGCTGAACTTCAGTCAGTTCCATTTATGTTGCTGGAGACATCTGCAGGAAGTGTGAGCCAAGGTATCCACTTACCAGTGACCACCGATAACACATGGAAAAGATATTTAGATCCCTAAAGTAACACAGAGGTGCACAAGGAGTTTTTAGACCTGCACATCTCCCTAATTTTTGAAAGTGGTGAGTTCAGGAAGTGACCAGCACCTGGTCTGTTATTAAATGGATCCTACTGAAACAAAAGGAGGGAACTAATCCAGAAGACTTAGATAAGGGGAGGGATGTTTGATGTGAACACTGGGGCCACTCTAGGCTAGTGGAAAGAGCCCAAGGCTTCAGAGAGGTGTTTGCCATGGCAAAACGGGAGCCAAGTTGAACCTCATCCCAAACCTCTCTGGAAGCTCAGTTGTGCTACCCACAACTGCATGGATCCCTCCTCTGCAGAGACAGCTTTGAAGTGCACATCAAGGCACATCTGTCTTCTAAAGCACTGCTGAAAACCTTGGAAGTCAAACTACTCCTTAAAATGTACTTTTAAGCAAAGTTTGGAAGGTACTACTGCAAGGTAAACAGAGGGTGCAATATGCTTTGTTTAACTTGCTTAGCATTTTAAATCTCTCAATCCTGACATTTCTTTGTAGCATAAAGCTCTCCAGATCAGGTTATATATTATGCATTGTAAAACTCTAGTAGTGAAAACAAACATTGTTTCCAGAGTCATCTGTTTGCAATTTTCCTTGATTACTCTTCCAATAGATTTCAAGCTGTGGATTGAAAGATTTAATGCTCACATGGATAGAATTTGTTCCTGTTCTAATGATAACTTTTGGTTACATTACTCAGTCTTAAGTCAGCCTGCATTTTACTTTTGTCAAGACCAACAATTTTGTTGTCTTAAATCAAATTTTCATGACTGTCCTCAGCAATCTGTCACAGCAGAGTTATTTTTGCCTGGCTGTTCTGACAGCCAGCTCCTAAAAACAGCATCTGAGTACGTGTGAAGGATGTTGGATGGTGCCAGTGGGGGATCAGTGTAGGGATGACATAAAGGGAAAGGATCTGTAGATGAACTTGGCTTCCAGGCATTACAAGAATCTTGGATGTAGGGAGAATCAGAATCAACAGAATGGTGTCCCCAAAAGCTGGCACAGCAACAAGGAGCCATTTATTGTAAAGGACAGGGAATGGGATGAGCTCTGCTCTGGGAATGGGAACGGAGGACATGGTCCCTTCCAGCTTTGGTGTCCTCTCAGACTGTCACTGCCAGACTGTCACTGCCAGACCCTCTGTGGCTGTCACAAGGCACAGCCAAGGAGGGGAGGTGCAGGTGGTGATGGAGACCTTCTTCCATGGCACTTCCCCTCTCCTGCTGATGAATTTACCTGAAGGGCTTTGCTGTGAGCCCTGAGCTCCTTGGAATTCCTTCTGGGAACACCGGGAACCAAACGGGGCCTCCTGTCCCTCACAGCCCTTTGCATGGGGGCCGCACTCACATCTCTTTGAGGATAAAAACTTAAATTCTTCCAAAGCTCCTTTCTACATAGTTTTCTTGGCTTTTGATCATTTATTGTTTTTATTGCTGTTAACAACACAAAACTGAACTTTTAGTACTGGGAATTAGAATGAATGCTATGGAACTCTGACAGAATTATAGCAGATTTGTACATATATGGTTTTACATTGAATAGAGTAAGAACTGGAACTAATTTGTTGTTACAAAAGTAAAAGTACAAATGTCCTCAAAATAATATCCCAGAACAAGAGTGATTCTGAGGACACCTAACTATGCTAACACTACATGTTGAAAGATGAAAGAGCCTTTAATTCTAACTTTTGCAAATAATCCTTTTATGAGTTATCAGATTTTAAGAGTTGTTTCTTAATTAAAAACATATATTAGTTGTATATGAGTTTATTTCTATGTATCACTTTTTAAAGAGTTGTACTTCCAATTATCTCAACACCTTGTAGTACAAATTAAAAATTAGGTAAAGTGAATCAATGAGGAATGTTACTGGTGACATTTTCTATAAACATGAAATTAGGTCAAAACTGTCTCATGTTGTTAACTGTTCCCAGATGGAACAACGATAGTTCAAAGCTAGAATCCAGCACACACAACTTCCAGGTAAATTCTGTGGTTTATAGGTTTATTTGGAAATATCTACAGTTAACTTCTCCCTCCTCTGAGCTTGATACAACATTATTTCTCATTTTCATTCTTTTGCTGTATTCACAATGGACTGATTTTTACATTAACTGGTACATTGGCACCAGAGTTCCAAAACCAAACCCCTTCAATGTGGAATTCATATAGAAAAAAAAAGGGATTTCTCTTTCCTGAGGAGAAAAAACAACAATAACATCTTTGCCCTCCACTGAAGGGCTAAATCTGCCTCCATGTCAAAGAAAGAATCCAGCTAGATTTTTTTTTTTTTTTGATTGTTTAAAATTAAATTAAAGCGTTTGGGACTGAGGAAGGTGTGAATCCATCTTCAAATGCAACATTTAAATTGAATTCACATGGGGGAAGACAGGAGAATTCCAAACACAGGCTGAGCAGGTCATGTAAAAGCTGAGCTGAGGAGAATCTGGAGGCTTGTTCAGCACTGGGATGTGCTTGGGGCTGGAGCTGAACTCCATGGACATTGTCCACAAAAAGAACTCTCAGGACAAATAACTTTCACCTTGTTTGTCCCAGGGTTAGGGGACAGATGAGGGTTACATTTATAGCAAAAGGGACACAAAATTGAAACTTCACTTTTTATGCACAGTTACTGGCACAGAATTTGTTCTCCTGTTTTCCTACTCAACTCCCAGACTGTCAGGAGAATTATCAACCTCTTAAAGGCAGCAAGCTGTGGGACCTGTGTGGAGGGATTCAGCAGGGAAAGAAATTTCCAGGTCTTGGTCATAAAGGAACACTAGGAACACTAAGCATTCTTAACAAAAATGCCTGATTCTTTTTTAAAAACCCCAAAACTATACAATGTATTTTAAAAAAAGAATACGAAAAAATAGTATGTGTAGTGGTTTTATACAATAAATAATCTATTTTCTATAAATGTACAAAATCAGTTACACAGCAAGTAAGAAACTGATACAAATGCAATAACTGAAAGATATATTTAATTTTATAACTGTAATAATTTATTTATGAAATATATCCACATATATATAAAATATATCATATGTTTTGGCAAAGACCTCCCTTTCTTGTTTTGAACAAAAACCATTACCACTGGTTTAAGCCCTATATAGATATTTTTACTGTTGATTTCTTTTCACTTTTCTTTTGGTCTCCATCTTTCTTCTTCTAAAATATAATTTAACAACAGGGGGTTATTGTTTAACCTGTGTGCCCTGGGGAAAGTCTGCATGAAGATCAGTAAACGCCCAAAAAAAAATTGTAATGTCACAAGTAAGGGATTTCCTCTCTTTTTAAATAATATAGAACAGGATTTGCAAAAGTTACTCTTTTTCCTTTTCTTACTCTTGCATCCTTGTAGCAAAAAGAAGTCCATAATTTCTGAAGAAATCATTTACACTGAAAAATGTCCAGGGTTGGAGTTAATCCTTATTGCCAAGTTTCTGGGTTATTTGGTGCTGGTGTTTCAATGGAGAGATAAAGGTGGGATTTGCAGCACTGGCAAAGCCCAGAGGGTGTGCTGAGGGTGTGACCTGTAGGGGCCTGGGACAGCAAATGGCCAGCACAGAAATTACTCTGATGGCATCAAGTTCCACAGTCCTAGCCTTGCATCTGTAGGAAAATTCTTTGGGATGAATCACTGAAGTTCTGTTCACCAACTACAGTGCATCCCCAAATAATCACTGTAAGTGTGTTTGAGTGGAACTTCCAAGTGCAGGAATAACTTGTGCCTAAATTAGGTAATCTATTGAATACTCAATGTATACTCTTAACTTGCTATAGTTTATAATAATATTTATATTAGCCATTCATATTTATTCTGCATAGATACTGTCATTTAAACATCTGCCACGAAGTTACAATGTGATGATTCAGGCTTGCATACATTAACAAGAGAAATATTTTGTATCTGTTTATTCTTAATGAGAACTGATGTAGAGGCAATCTCCCTCTAACTCTCCACATTCTCCACTTGCAGCTGCCTGCACAGAGCTGTGGATGGATTCTTCAGACACAGAGCAAGCAGTGAGTGAACAGTGTCTATTGTACTTGTTTAAATCACAGAGAAAAACGTTTCCTGAAGCTTTGCATTGCTGAAGTTTGGGTCTGCTTTTGAAGTTTTCCTCAATAGTGATACATTCCCTGCCAGGTTACATGATAAAGATTATCCTTTTCTGAGGCTCTCTCGAGGGGAGAAAAGCTTCTTCATCCAGGTTCCCATGCCCTCAGAGGGGCACTGCTGAAATGGAAGTGTTGCCTACTGCTGAATTCTCCACTGGCATCACACTGAAGCATCAAGTTTGTCCATCTCAAGGGAGAGTTGTAGTTTAAGTTCTTGTTTCTGAGCTCCAGCAAATAAATGTTAAAGCTTTAAAGAAAACAAACCGACAAAGGAATACAGCCAAACTGTTGAATATGCAGCACTAAGTCCCTGTTACCTGAGATAATTTTGGCTGCCCTCCTTGGTTACGTGTACACAGAGCAAGCTCTACACAGTTCTCTAATTAGCTCTACGCAAATAATCACAGCAACAAATTCAGCTTGGGGAATTCTAATCCACGTGCTTCCCTTCATAGCAAAAAATTTGGGGTATTGGTGTGACTTTTTTAGAAGTGACAATATTTGAAACTGGCTACTGGGTCACAGTAACCTCCTGATACCTGACATCAAAAGCAGATTTACTTTTCCCTCCAGATACTTCTTCCACAAAGTTTTTCCTGTTTCTTTACCTTAACACTTCAGCTTTTACTGGAGCACTGCATAGGGATATGTAGCTTAATTTGCTGCAGTGCTAAATGAGGAAAAATATGATAGACAGGAACAGCCCTTGTCCTAAAAAAAAAAAAAAAAAAAAAAACAAAAAAAAAAAAAAAACCAAAATATGTATTGGCTTATAGCCAAATAATCCAACTTTTGAAGGCGTTACATCAGCACAAGAAAGGTTGTAGCAGTTCTCAGTATAGTAAAGTTTATTTTAAAAATTAAATTAGGGAAAAAAAAAAAAAAAAACAAACAAACAAACTCATGGGCCAAATTCTGTCCTTAATTTTGGAAGGAGTGATAATATCCAGTTGAAAAAATTAAGGGTTCTTCAAATACAAATAACATTTATGGAAAGTGAGTATTTCTTTTTAACATTAACATACCTGATTGTTCAGAATCCTCCAGACTCTCTGTGCTACTGAACAAAATTGTGTTCCTCTTCCCTGCATTGGTCTTTCTCCTCTGTCTTCTTCATTGATCCATGATTTCTGTAGAACAGAGATTGCCTAAACTTGTCACTGTGTTCTCATCAATGTCCCCGTAGATGAAATGACAATGTCGTGCTCTTTGTTAGACTGCATAAAACATTCTAGAACACTGCAATATTCAGCATGCCCCTAACTGGACAGATCTGCTGTTTCAAAATCACCACATCATAAAAAGAAACAGAAAAAAGAAAATTCCAAGCAGTACTGACTGGCTCTGGCCTCTTTCCTTCACTTATTAAACTCTGATGTGACACAGGAGTTTTCCTGCTTTTTTTCTTCCTGTTCACTCCCCCATCCCACTGAAGGGGAAGTGAACAAGCATCAGTGGAAGTGCTTGGCTGCTGGCCAGGGTTAACCCACCACAACTGCAGAGGGGAATTTTATTTAAAATCAATACCTTTAATCAGTTCCTCTTGATAAATACATCCTGATTAATTTATCTCCATGAAATGGCCTCATCACGTGGCCAGGTTGCAGTGACAGGGAAAGACACTCACCTCCTTCTGTCCTGCATTCTTCTGCAAAACTGCAAACACTGCTTGTCGTGAGCATCCCAGCAGGAACATCGGAGTGAGGACTGGGGAGCACTCTGAGTCTGGCCTGTGGACCTTTTGCCTCTGAAGCTGCCTCTGTAGTTAGACAGTCCATACGGCACAGTCCTCCTGTTGTGAGAATCACACAGGAACAAATTAAAATTATGTTCCACCTCTTTTCTATTTTAGTGAAGAGATGTGTTGATGGAAAGCAATAAATAGTGGCAGAAAAATCAAACCCTATGCTCATCTAAGTTCTCCCTGTACCAGATCATAACTTCTGCTCCATCAACTCAGGCTTTCACCAAGTTATAAATTAGCAGACAGCTCTACTGGAAGGATTAGTTGCCAGCTACACTAGTAAAAAAAAAAAAAAAAAAAAAGAAAAAAAAATGGAATACCTAAGACGTGATGCAAATACATCCCCGGGTTATTGTTTATTTTACACCTTATTCCTGTGTTGTGTTGGTTTCCCCAGCCTATGCACAAAATCTGTCACATTCAGTGCCGTGGCTGGTCTGAAGTGACAGAGGAGCTGTGCTGATTTCACCAGATCAGTAACATTGTGTAGTTTTCATGTACTTCATGGTTCTGAGTCTGATTTGCCATTAATTTTGTAATTGAAATTAAGAAAACTGTCAGCATGATTCATTTACTGCATTATGTTTGGAACATGACCCGTGGAGTTACACATGCAAGAAACTCCCAGATAATCCTCCTTGCATGGTTCTACCTTTCTGTGAGAGATCCTATTCTGTGTTGCAGCACACCAAGGAATAGTAGGGGGTACCTCTCTTTATTTCTCTGCATGGTTTGCTCTTTAATGGGTTATAGTCAATATTCTTATCAGAAAAGGACATGGTTCATCAGTGCCTGCTAAAATCCCCAAAAAGAGTTGGATAGTTTGGATTGATGTCATGAATTACTCTCTTCCAAACTGTTAAAGAATCTCAATCAACAGCAGCTGTACTCCCCATGAAACTTCTGGAGTCTCACAAAAGTTCCTGAGGACTTGAGAAATGGGCTAAGCAAGCCACAAATCCACAAATGTTAAAAATCTGAAGAGAATCTCATGTTCAAAAGCAAGAAAGAGGAGGGGAGGAGTGGGGAAAAAAAAAGAAAAGAAAAGAAAAAGGCAGGGAAGAGGAAGTCAGAGTCAATCTAGAAAGGTTACAGAAAGGTTACAGAACAAAGCCTGAATAATGAGTCTGGAACCACTACCTTCACATAGCTCTGCTTCTTTCATTTGCTTTCATAAAAACATCATTAGGCTGCTAATGGGATAGCTGCAAATTTTCCATTTTCCCACACACATGGTGGGCTGAAAGGTTCAGAAACATTATTTTCCTAATCTCTGCAATAATTTTGATGCAACATCAGTACAGTTGATGCAAATCATTTATTCAAGCCTCTGCACTCGTAGTACATTTGTAACAGTGCACCTTGTCTTTCACAGCCTGAACCTGTGGAGTTAGGCTGACCATCAAATCATCCTGAGAGAGAGAGAGGGAAAACCACAAGCAGTACTTCTGTGTTCAGAGCCCAGGGGATGGTTTTTCTCCAGCAGGTCCTGCTCTGCCTCCATGCAGAAAATCTTCCTTATTTTCACCACTTTACTCCTATGCCAGGAGAGACCAAGAACACCCATTTTTGTCTTTAAAGACTTTAGGACTTGATTTTGGCCTCCCTTCTCAAACCATCATTTAAAAAGCTTTTTGTTGTCTTTAGGATTAGGTGCAAGTCCCATTTTATAATTTAAGACTATTAATAATTCTATACTGACATCTGCTTTACAATAATGAATGTGAAATGGTTAATGTAGGGAACTTTTGACATAAATAATTGCTCCATGTTCGTATTTTTTTTACACATTCATGTTTTTTATGAAGTAAGAACTGGTATTTAAAGGCAGGAGTGGGGGAAAGTTCCTTTATTTTTAACAGTGGCAAACCCTCTATGAAAACTGTCTGGTAAAATTCTGTTATTTAACTTCCTGCTCCAACTGAGACTGAAATGGAAAGATGAATTTTGTGTGTTTTAGACAATGTGAGAGCCCTGTTTAATGACAGATAGTTTTCCAGGGCATAAAGAAGCTTCTTGCAGCTTTTGCAGATGTCATCCTACATTATGCTAATGAGGCATAAAACACTGTAATATGCTATTCTCATTATTTAAAGTGGTTCAAAAGTTCACCCTTTCAAAATATGATACTGGGCTTTTTACTCTAAAGTTAAGTTTTACCAAAAGCTCTGTGGGACTGAGTCACAGTTTGCCCTGAATCAGAGGCTCTGCCTGATTAGCCAGAGAGAAAGAAGGGCATGAGCTTTATTCTTAATTGCTGCAATTGGAAAATTAATGAACCAACCAGAATTGTCATCAATGTTCGATTTTACCTCAATCCATCAGTATGTGAACTCCAGTGATTGAGGAAAAGGCCCATTACCAATCTGCTGCCTTTCCTAAGAGACAGTAAATTCCAGCAAACAGGAAGGAGGGTAGGATGTAATTATAATTACAAGTGATAAGAGCCATGATTCACAGCCTTAAGCAAAGAAGAAAAGTGATATTTTAGATACTTCTTCTGATCTTTCTAATTAAGTACATTATGCTTCATAGCTTAGAAAATGTAGTCAAGGCTACTTCATTCTCAGTGGACCAGCAGCATGTGCCAATGCAATGACATTTTCAAGTGTTTTAAGTTTCAAAGACTTTTAACCAGAATTAAGTGAAGTTTTTGTGTAAGGTAATGTGCAGGTTTGTCAATCAGAGATAGAAATACAATAATCCAAATATGCCTGGTTTTGGCTTCTAATCCAAAAATTCAAACTCAAACAAGGTTCACTTCAAAAGCAACCCAAAGTCTTTCCAACAACAATCACAAAGAGTTTGATGAATTGTATATGCACAGGGCACTTTGTGTCCCCTCAGTGAGGATAAGGATCAGCTGGAGTAGAGCAGAGGCAGAACTGGGGGGAACTGAACTACCTGAACTACCAGTTCCTTACACTATCTTTTATGACCCAATCTCTGGACAAAGTCCTGGCTAAGGCATTTACTAATATTTTTGGAAATTTCTCTGCAGCATCCACAGGTTTTTAATTAATTCCTTTTTTTTAAGGTTTACATTTCACAAGAAAATTTGAATTCCTGACTTTTAACTCAGTATGCAGCATTTCTTCCTTTAGGAGAATAAAATTCTCCTGAAGTAAACTGATATGAGTTTAAGATATATTTACAGCTAAGATATATTTATAGCTAAGGTGTGCTGTGAGCCCTTTATGCCTTTCTTCTCTACAAAGTGGAGAATAAGCAAACCTAGACATTTCTGAATCAGCCTTTCCAAGGTACTTCTTTGAGCTGGCATCTGACTGGCAACATCCAAATCTGTGATTTCTGAGGCATTACACTCTTTTGGGAGGTTCAGAGTGATTACTCCAGCCAGCCAATGGGTGCACAAAGGTCTGCATGCTCAGTTCTTTAGAATTTTCTAACAAAGAGAAGGTCTGAGTTTAAGGAAATAGTTGCTTCTTCAGTATAAGCTATTTGTTCTTTACTCTGTATGCAAAAAAAAAACCCCAACAAAACCGTCACAGCTCTCCAGTACTTGCAATTATTCCATGTGTTGTAATTGTGATTAGTCAATGCAACAGATAATGAAACAAAGATAATCTCATGTATAACAGAGCAGCACAGGACTAATCCAAGCACAGTGTGTTCTTGTCAGATTGGATATCAGAGGCTGAAATAACCTAGATTATTTGTGTACTTCGTGTCCACAAAACACAATCAGAAAAGCTCTCCCCCTAAGAGCCAGCTAGCTCTTCCAGCTAGGAAGGTTTTGCCATTAAATTAACAGAAATAGGCATTTGTTTGTTGAAAAAAAAAAAGAGAGGAAGTACCAAGCAATTGGTACCAAGTGATTTTTCCACTGAACAGCCATTCTGAAACAGTGAAAATCTTCCACAGAAGAAATCTGCCTGTTGAAGGATTAATACCTTCAGGTTGAATTGGGAATTAAGATTTGCCTGAGTCCTGCTGTCCCCCACTCACAAGGAAGGGTCAGAATTCAGACAGACAAATCCAATTTGTTCATTTTAATTTTATAACATGTGGCTGAGTTTCTCATGCTATGTTATAATTGATCTATGAGCTGCTATTATCTTCTACTTTCCCAGCCACTTAAACACAGCAGATACCTCCAGGGCACTGGAGAGTTTCAGCCAAAACAAAGGGATGAGGGGGTTGCAGCAACCATCTTAGATGCTGTGATTTCAGGATTTAGCCAATATATTTTCTGGCACACATCCAGGCCAGCAAGGCTCCCAACAGTCTCCAGTGTTTTCAGATAATCCCAAAATGTAGAGGTTCCCTGATAGAACCACTGAGAGTAAAGGAAGCAAAATTTACCATCCTCCAAGTGAGAGAAAATGTCCCTAGAATGAAGTATGATGCTTGGGGGAAATAACAGATATTTCTGTGTATATTTTAATATAAAGGCCCTGCAGTAGCACTGTGTAGCTTTACAGATGAAGAGATCATTGGCTGCTCTGGAAGTTGGCTCCAGCTCTTCCTTTAACAGGCGTGGGTTTTTAGGAGCTCATAATAGAGGCACCTCCCATATTAACCCATTCTTATCATTATTCAAGGAGTAAAACATCTCCAAAGATGCCTGACTTGTTGCTTTGGTCACCCTCTCCACATTCTCAGAAGCTGCACTTTTTCTGAGTAGTTTTTTGAAGTTAAAGCTACTTTCAGATGAAACAACTTTTATCCTTTATAGCCACACCTTTCTTTCCCACATCCTCAATTTAGTAGTGCTCAGTGTTCCTAGATACTGAACAGGCTCCTATTATCCAAAAACATGCACCTCCATGACCTTGCTGTCTTATCCTTTAATTAATACTTGCTAATTTGCGAGGATGCCAATTAGTTTTAGCTCACTAATTACAGCTAACTTAGGTAATGTAATAAGCCAAGGATTGCACACATCTGCTTCACCGCTCAAGTTCACTGACCACGTGAGTTCTTTGATTTTCCTCCCCCTGGGGCTTCTTGGTACCCAGGTCAGGCACGGTGAGAATCTGGAGGCTGTTTATCACTCTCCATCCTCCTCCTGTAGCTGTCAAAGG